GACTTTGAATCACGGACACATCAGAGACATTGCCAGAAGTTATTAACCTAACAAGAGAACTTGAGAACTGAAACTCACTTTGGCTGCTATTGCGAGCATATCATTGTCTGTCTCCGTCAGGAGGGCCAGGGGTGCAAACTGTATCAATTATTTCACAGGAAAAAAAATAGAATAAAGAGTTGCTAATTGCGCCCCCAGAGAAGTGAAAAAGAAGGAGAGGACACAGAAGTGGTAGCCCCAGGAAGCACCAGGAGAAGAACAACGAGAACCTGAATCAGGGAATGTTGGGAGGAGTGCCTGTCCACTGGTGCTGTGGCTCCGAAGAGCATCACGACTTCTTTTTTAATCACCACAGCATGAAGAAATGTTGCTGATGTAATAATAATGAAAAGAAAAGTTGAAAATTCCTTGTTTTTCCAACTTCTCGTTCTCTCCAAGATACCCCATTTAATGCAGGTAACGCACAACACAGAACCACCTGTCAAAAAAAAATGTGGTAAACTCCAGATTTCCAAAGGGTGAGTTCCTCTTAGAAAGCCAATAACTTAATAAGCAGAAGGTTAGAAATCCTTGATGACTAGACTTTGGCAACGTTTTTTCCAGAAAGTTCTCCTTGGTCTAGCAGAATACCCAGTTCCCACTTGGCACTTGTAATGAATCATTTGGTTTTTTTTTAAGCAAACAGTTTAGTCCATTCTAATTATCAGAATTATGCCTAATCAGTAGGAAATGTTTGATTCAAGCTAGACAGTAATGAAGGTGAAAGAAACACTTCCATTTATCTGAAAAGCAATCATTTTGCTACAATCTGTCCTTTGAGAAATCAATCCCCAGAAGCAATATTAGACAGTCTTCCAAATGGGTTATGTAACAAACTTCATAATATAAAACTGGCCATTCCTGCTATGCTGGCTAGTTCTGTGTCAAATTGACATAAGATATAGTCATTTTGGAAGAGGAAACCTCAGTTGAGAAACTGCCCGTTGTGGTGTCATATGAACGTTGAGCAAGAAAAGACATTGAATGCTGAGAACACAGTGGACTATTCTGGGGCCCTTGGAAGATAAGGATGTTGAGAGGAAAGCAGACAATGGAGGCCTGGTTTGTGAAGTTCCAGAGGAAAGTAAAGACCCTATTAGGGTCATATAATTGGTATTTTGAATTAAGATTCTGTGGTTCCATGTAAAGCTTTTCTTATTTTCTGTGTTAAAAACAAACAAGCAAACAAAAACAAAACTGTAGTTCTAGTCCACTGGGGATGAAGAATCAGCCATGATTAACAAGAGACCAACACCACTGAAATAAAACTTTGGCTTTACTGAGAACATTGATGCTGATTGTTAGCTGGAACTGAGAAATTAGACATGGTTAAGAAGAGACCAGCATCACTGTAGATCATAAATCCTGGAGTATTTCCTCAGGGTCCACACAGATAAGCTGTAGTACAGAGGGGTCTGAAGCTATATCTCATGCTGGAAGATAAACTTAGTAGTGTAAGAATCACCCAGATAGTGATAGTTTTTGAAGGCTTGAAAAAGTTATGGAGAGCAACTAAATCTTGACACCATGAGGCAGAGCTGGAGTCCCTGGAGAAAAGCTGGAAGAGCTCATGCATGAAGGTGCATCCTCAGTTGCAGTAGAAGGGTCAGGATCAAAGGGGTCATGGAAAGAAGTTGAAGCTTGGCACCATGTGGTAAGGTCAGAATCCCTGAAGAGATCCGAAAAGAGGCTGTTGGTAAACGTACATCCAGACCAGTTGTAGCAGGAGACCCGGGTGTTTTGGAAATGTCAGTACTGTGGGGCTACTACCAAGAACAGCAACAGGTATGGAGTGGAGCTGGCCTGAGCCTACAAGGTGTGTTTTGTGTGTTGTGGAGAGCCCTTTGGAGCCCAGAAGATCATGAGTCCCAGAAGTCTGACAGTGAGGTTTATACAGTTGGGCTTTAGGTTTGCTTTGATCTGATTGTGTCTGTGCCCTGGATCTTTATTCGTGTAGTAAGAAAATGCTTACTTTTTATTTTACTCAAGCCAATGCTTGTGTAAGACTTTAGAATTTTAGAGAGATTTTGGGACTTTAGAAAGACTTTGGGTATTTTTAAGTGGTTGAACTTTTAAAGTGTTTGAATTTTTAAAGACTTTTTATGACTTTTAAAAGTTGTGATGTCTTATACTGAGTTGTTAATATTCACATACCATCTTGGGGATAAGTGGAAAAGGAAAGATACTAGCTGAATAGTATCGAGTTTTTGTGTCAAATTGACAAGAGGCTAACTGTGCTGGCTAGTTCTGTGTCATCTTGACACAGGGTAGGCCCCTTTTGCAAGTGGGAAACTCAACTAATAAAATGCCCCCACTAAATTTGCCTGTGGGCCAAACCTTAGTGCATTTTCTTGATTAACTATTGACGTGAGAGGGCCAAGCTCACTGTACATGATGTCACCCCTGGACTGGTGGTCCTGGGTACTATAAGAAAGCCCAAGGAACAAGCCGTGAGGAACAAACCAGTAAATAGCATTTCTCCCTGGTCTCTGCATCAGCTCTTGCCTCCAGGTTCCTGTTTGACATTTTAGTAAAGCCCTGGAGCTGATAAAGGAGGAAGCCGTATAGATATGTAGTGGAAGGATACCCCATGCTAGAGACGAGTGTATGTCCCTAAGACAACAGCAAGGCTGAAAGATGCAAGACCAAGAGGACACAGTAGAGCATGAAGAGGAGGTGACAACGAGCCAGGAGTGGGCAAATGAGAACCCCTGACCTTTGGAAAGTGAATCAGTAAAGCTATGCTGGGATTCTATTAAATCTTCTTCCTTTTGACATATGCTATACAGCGTTACTGTGATCAACTTGACTACTATATTAAACATGAACAAAAAGTGTTTCAGGGAGAAAATTGTCAAGGTGGAGTCAGGAAAGCTGGTAAGAAAATTTCTGCCATATCTAGACAAGAGCAAGAATGCCTGGGGGTCTGTGGTAGAGAGGAGAAGGGGTCAGTTTCTATATCAGTTGTGAAGATATTGCCTGTGGATCCCACAGAGTTTGAACTCTAAATCAAACAACTCCCACTAAGCATCTGAAGCAATTACTGCAGAACATACAAAGACAGCCTGCCAAATCTGTGTCTAGGTATCCACCACCCTAGAAATTCCTTTCAGACAGCTCCCCAGAATGCCTGTGGATAGCCCACCATATCATAAAAGAAATTAATGGAAGTTACATTAAAATTTCTCACGTTCACTCATCATGCCTGGCCTAAGCAAATAACTATATTGCTTTCCTGTTGCTGAGCTGGACAGGTAGGAACGCCATGTATTTTTTGTGTTAATAGACACTGAGAATTTTCCCCTCTCAGCAAAAGTAGTAATCCCCATGGACTTTTGGAGTTCATTGGGGAATCAATAACTCTGTTTTCCCAAAGAGTCCTTTGGGTTTATGAAGTCACAAGTGGATGACACTATTTTCTTTTTGATTTTTTTTTGTTTGTTTTTTTGTTTTCTTTTTTTGAGACAGGGTTTCTTCGTGTAGCTTTGGAACCTGTCCTGGAACTAGCTCTTGTAGACCAGGTTGACCTTGAACTCACAAAGATCTGCTGGGATTAAAGGCATGGTCTTTTTTTTTTTCAAGACTGGGTTTCTCTGTGTAGTCTTAGCTATTCTGGAACCCACTCTATAGAACAGGCTGGCCTCAAATTCACAGAGATCTGTAACATGAGTAACAAAAACCCAGAGACAGAAATTGGGGTTCAATGTGAAAACCAGAAAAACAAAGCAGCCAAGCCACTAGAGAAGTCTTACCAGTCTACCAAGGCTGGTGACTGCAGACTAAGCAGACTAAGCCTCTCTCTCCTCTCATTCTATATTCCCTCTAGTGCTAGGATTAAATGTGTGAGCCACCACCACCTGGATTTGTTTCTGTAGTGATCTTGTATAGGCCAAGGTGGCCTTGAACTCACAAAGATCCACCTGCCTCTGTCTCCCAAATCCTGGGGTTAAAGCTGTGTGCCCCCACTGCCTTACCTCTAGTGGTTTAGCTTTGCCTTTCTGATATTCAGGCAAGCTTTATTCATTAAAACATAAATAAAATATCACTATAGAGATCCACCTGTGTTTGCCTCCCAGGTGCTGGGATAAAAGGCGTGCACACCACTACCCGGCACTGAAATTTTTAAGACAAATTTGCTTTATTACGTCTACAAATTCTCTCCTAAGTTTCTAGCCTCTTGCATCTCCTGCTCACTAGCAGCAGCATTTTCCCACTTTATTGCTTTCAGTTTAGTTTTGATTTTGTCCTTTGGGCGGGATTTAGGGAGCAATGGTAGACAAATCCCTCTGGTGCCTCGAGTCAGCTTGCTGTTTATCCATGCAGCACACATTTGACCTATGTTTGTTTATGCAGATATTATGTAAGAACTAGAGATCCAAAGATTAATTAAACACAGTTTGGCTTTTTGGAAATCCAAGCCTATTAAGAGGCATGCAAATGAGTAAGGCAGCTAACTGAAAGCAAGACAGAAAAATAAGATAGGAGAGATGAAAGCTGGCTTCCACTGGGAAAGTCATAAAAAATTCAGAGAAAGTAGAAGGGAAGGGAGGAAGCCCTAGGGAAGGCGCAGCGGTGAGAATGTGAGACAACTGGGAAAGCTGTGTGATGGTGGAGCCACAGAGAGACCCTTATGCAGAATAAAATGAGGAAGGTGGTGAAAGAATTGCAATCAGGGCAGCTGTGCCCTTAATACCATAAAACATTCAACCTAACATCCAACCATGGATGGCAGCCTCCATCAAAGGCCAAGACCCTAATGTTCCATCTGCACATGAAAAAGTATTCTGCCTGCATGACTAAGATTCCATTTCCCAGAATTCCCCGAGACGGCCTTGCCTCTTCCACCTGGACCTCAGAAAGCTGGAGAATTGTGCACCGGAAGCAGCTCTAGTACTGGTGAAACCCGAAGCAGGTGCAGCCACAATGGGTGAACCCTCCCAAGATCCATGAGGATCCTTGTGATGGGGGGCTCTGGACTGCTGGACAAAGCCATCCAGAAGGTGGTCGCAGAGAGGACCAGCTTACCTGGGGAGGAATGGGTGTTTGTCTCTTCCAAAGATGCAGATATGACAGATGCAGCACAAATGCAAGCTCTGTTCCAGAAGGTACAGCCTAACCATGGCATCCATCTTGCTGCAATGGTAGGCGGCCTTTTCCGGAATATCAAATACAATTTGGATTTCTGAAGGAATAATGTGCACATCAATGACAATGATTTGCATTCAGCCTACGAGGTGGGCACTCACAGGTGCTCTCCTACCTGTCCACCTGTATCTTCCCTGACAAGACCACCTATCCTATCGATGAGACAATGATCCACTATGATCCACCCCACAGCAGCAATTTTGGGTATTTGTGTGCCAAGAGGATGATTGATGTGCAGAACAGGGCCTACTTCCAGCAGCTTGGCTGCACCTTCACTGCTGTCATCCCTATCAAGGTCTTCGGGCCTCATGAGAACATCAACATTGAAGATGGCCGTTTGCTGCCTGGTCCCATCCATACGGTGCACCTGGCCAAGAGTAATGGTTCAACCTTGACTGTATGGGGTGCAGGGAAACCACGGAGGCAGTTCATCTACTCTGTGGACCTAGCCTGGCTCTTCATCTGGGTCCTGTGGGAGCACAGTGATGCGGAGCCCATCATCCTCTCAGTGGGCAGGGAAGATAAAGTGTCCATCAAAGCGGCAGCCGAGGCTGTAGTGGAGGCAATGGGCTTCTGTGGGGAAGTCACTTTTGGTTCAACAAAGTCAGATGGACAGTCTAGGAAAATAGCCAGCAATGGCACACTTCAGGCCTAATTGCCCAACTTCTGTTTCACCCCTTTCAAGCAAACAAGCTGTGAAGGAGACTTGTGCCTGGTTCACCAACAACTATGAGCAGGCCCGGAAATGGAACACGGAACAAGCAGGTGCTCAGCTGGCAATACCCAGTCAGTGGTCACCTCAGATCTTGCTGAGAACTGAGGCTAGCATCCAGCAACCTAAGCCACATGCTGGCCTCTCTGCCAAGTGGCTCCATGGAGCTGTTCAGTAGGGTCTGTGTTTGTCCATCTCGGGGAAAGGCCAGACCAGCACTTTGTTTGTCTGCTTTCACCCCAACCTCTGCATCCATGTCTGTCCTGCTGTCCCTTGTGTAGAAGCCAATAAAATTGATTTTCATAGAAAGCAAAGAAAGAAAAAGCACTTCAATATGAAACTTATCAATAACTGTTTACTACTAACTTACTATAGGTGTCTCAAGTTGTGAACAGAGCTACAATTTCAGTGGGAACATATGAAAGAAAACAGTAATATGTGAAAGTCATAGTTTAAGAAATATTGTGCTTCTAGAACCAAAGAGAAAAGGGAAGGAGGTGGATTTCAGAACATGAGGAGGTGGGGAGAGTTAGTGTGTGGATTTGGCTGTCGTCTGGATAAAAGGTAGAGGAATATAGCGGGAGAGGAAAGTGAACTGGAGATAAACAGTCCTGGAAGCTGTTTGAGCACCTTTGAAACACACGGGGAGGGGTGGGGGGCTAGCCGAGAGCTGGAATATAGATTCAGGACTCGGGAAAAGGCTCTGAGCTGTGCGTGACATCTGAGGCTCGCCAACAGGGCTGGCCTATTGTACAAAGAAAGGTATGAAAATTACACAGAATTTATAAAAAAAGTGTGCACAATAACAAACACACAAACAGCATAGTTGATAATGGTGCTACATGGTTAACAAAACTTTACAGTCTAAGTTCCACAGTGTCGGGAGCTCCTTCTCATTTGCCACTGGGTCACATGGCAGTCTCTGACAAACACAGGAAGGGTTTTCCCGGAAATAGCCCCCCTTTTCTGTAGTCTATTTGCCGCACAACTGGGACACAGCATTTGTGGCAGAGGTGAGGGAGGGATCGTGACTTTCCCCAAACTCTCTTCTACAGCCATACTGTTAACTTGATCCTTCCAGTCCCTCAACTCTGAAGAAATCACTTCATCCTTGTGGTAATGGCCCCACCTGCTGTCACAGCTGAGATGGCCTCTAGCTTTGTGGACAGCGGCTCCTACCCATCCCAGGTGCCCATTTTTATATGACAGTAATAAGACAGAATTACAATGTAAGAAAATATTTAAAGCTAACAAGACAAAAATATATGCTTGTCATAAGGTTACCCTGGATTGGAACTCTCTATTCACTTTCAGGCTCAAAGATCTCAGCATAATAATGTCTGTGTCAGCTGTGGCAAGTGGCAGTCTTCTCATCTGCCCAGCTGAGGTCAGCAGAATACAGAAAACCCAGGCGATGTGTTGACCTTCTGTTTGTATGAACCAGACACTGTCTCCATCCTGAGAGACTTACAGAGTCTAACGTATGCCCTTGCCCTTAGGTAAAGTTTGTTTTCTGGAGAGACAGGCCACTACAAGCATCTTAAGAAAAGGGCCTATGACCACCTGGACATCTCACTTCCTGACTATATGGGCTGATTACTGACCACAGTATATCTGGGCTACTTGGAACTGATGTGTTCACAGGATGAAATATGAGTAAAGCAAATACATTCTTCCAAGTTCAGGACTTTGCAGCTCTTGAAAAATGAATTGTATTTACAATGAGTAGAGAAGAGAGCGCATGCTGGTCAGGAGATTGGCAGAACCAAGGGAAAGGGTTGAGGAGCCCACACTGAGGGTTGACGAAGAGCTCAACAAGAGCCAGAGGTGGGGCAGGGGAATAAGACTCGTGGCCCTCCCACTACATAAGCTCTAATTTCATCTTCATGCAATAAAAGAAAAAGTAAGTGTCTTTGATGTGACTGATGACCAACACAGGAGCCATAAAGATGACTTGGTGTTTATCCACCACAGTGGCACAAGCAGAAATACAAGACTAATACAGAAGTAACCTGTCCGAGTGTGTATTCACAACTCCACATGAAAGGGGAAAAAACAAAAGAAATATGGGCAGCATTTTTCATATGATATCCACAAGAATTAATCTTTTTAGTAGACTCTTACTAGCTTGCTCATGCTAATTAAAACAAAGCTTTAGAAAAAAATAGTAACATCCTAACAGATGAAGAAAAAACTAGATTGCTACAAAAGGGTTATAAGTTATATATACACACATATACTAATATATATATAATATATAATTAAATATACAAACATAAAATCCTTTGTCACTAAGACATAGCAGCAGTCCATATGTCTATGATCAACTCACCCATGCTTTCAGCAATCGGTGGGCTGCTGCTAGCAACTGACTGACTGAGTCTTATGGACAACATGGGTCAAAGACCAAGTTAGCACTTGTTCTTACATGATGTCAAAGGTCAGAGTCATTAAGCTTTCATTCACTCATTCATTAATCTATTAATTCATTTAGCAATTGTTGGATGAATTGATAAAGCGTCCTGTCAATATTTTGTTCCCAGTTGTACTGTTCACACTGAGCAGAACAGTGTTTAAAATGTAGAAGTTTATACTTGGTGTAGTTCAGATGACCACACTGATTCCTCTCACAAGCTCTAAGAATACAAGGTAATGTGGAAAGAGAAATAGTGCTGTCCCACTCACCTAGAATTTGGAGGAGAAAACACATTTTAACAATTGGGATCAGACTTGTAGGACTCTAGCCATGACATGTGTCTGAAACTTTCTAGTGAAATTTGCTTTAGCAAACAAAGGTTCCCCTGGAGAAGTGATCTTGAACTGAAACCTGAAGGGTGAGTGGGACTTGGCACAGCAAAAATAAAATAAAATAAAATAAAATAAAATAAAATAAAATAAAATAAAATAAAAGTAATAATGCCTTAAACAGAGGCAGAGGCAGGATACAAGGTTTCTGCTACAAGCGAGGGCAAAAAGATGGATAAGATTAAAACATGTGAGGATAGCTCTTACAGAGTTCTAGAATTATAAATACCAGAAAAATTATGTAGCCAACATATAATATTTAATGACAAAATGCAAATTGGAACAATAAAACTGATATGTTTGTGATTGGCATTGGCAGAAGTTACAACCCAAAAGCTCTTTGCTCATTTGTAATATAGAAGTCTGACTAAACAAGGAAAAATTATTATAATCAAAACAATGGAGCATGTAACTTTTGAGTTGTATAACCTTGATTATTGTAAATTATGCCAATAAAATTATAATTTTACTAACTCACACAGCAACAATTAGCCCTCAAATGGGGGTTCACAAAAGGGTCAGTGCAGCACCATGAGGGTGGCTTAGGCACACCGATGTAGAACTGTGTTGACGTTAGTACACCTGGCAAATAGTTCATTCAATTCTTGTTTAAAACTGAGTTTTAAAATATGTTATTAAATGGTGTTGTTCACATGAGAGTATTCATACAGAGAAAGGTAAGACTGGGGCTGTGAAAGTGGTGTGGAAAGAAAGGTATATTAAAAAAAACCATGCAGAGGAGGGCACCCTTTGCCTTCAATAGCTATGATGGAGTGTGGAAAGAAAGGTATGCTAAAAACATGCAGGGGAGGGCATCCTTTGCCTTCAATAGCTATGATGGAGTGCTTCAGCAGAGTAATAGTATTCAGTCAACTCATTTAGTGTTTTATTTTGCACTTATGATTATAACATTTGCCACAATCTCTGACTCTGAATTACATAGCTATCTCCATTAGTCTGTCCACCCCGTGCACCCAGAGGCAGAAAAGTTACTGCAGGCGCATGCGTTGCTCCTGCTTTCATTCAATGAGATGCTCGCTGATCCGTAGATTGGTGACACATTTCCTCAGAGATTTTCTGTTCCAGTAATTGGTCAACATGCATATAGATTCATAGAATAAGCACTTATGTGTCTGACTGCTTACTTTAAAAGAATTCCCGTTCTGAGCTGCAAAGTGCTCACTGAACAGCAGTGTCTCATGGTTCATAGGTATCTTGTTTTCTCAGTGCATCTCCGTGACCTTCAGGGGTCACTGCCAGTAGTTTTGCAACAGGTACATGGTTAAGTGCAGGGATTCAGAGAGGCATGCCTTGCTCCAGAGCTGTGACTGACAGTGGGAACTCACAGATAAGGTAAGGTGAAGGATGTGCGTTGACTCACCAATAAGAAAATAACTGATTTTTTTCCCTTTGTTGAACTATCTAAATTGGAAAAAAAAAAGTTCTTTGGTGCAGAAGAAATAAAAGTTTCTATATTTTTGGAGGTTAGCTCTTAGGAATGTATAGCAGTAAAAATGCTTATAAAGTATATCTAAATATTTTGAGTATTTCAAACATTGAGATGAAGAAAACTAGTCTACCCCAGAAGCCATATAGCTTGCTCTAAATATACCTTTCATTACTGAGCACCTATACACTACCTAAAGGTTCTAAAACCAAACATTGCCCTGGCAAGTATAAATTTTCTATCTTGAAAGAACAATCCTGAAGTTTCCTTTAATCAATTAGCTGTCACATAAGTTGTGTTTATACATTGAGATTCCCATTCCTTGTGCTCTTTTTGTCTGGTGTTGCTAGGTAGGCACCATGTCTGACTTACACAGATGATTTCTGGGTCCAGCTCCAGTATGGAGGGGATAGAGACTTCTGCAAGACTCTTTCCATGCTGTATCAGAACAGGTTAAGGGTGAACAGGAAACTGAGGTAGAGCAGGCACAACACTTTTGCCATGTTCCTGTGAAGAACAACAGGCGGCAGAGAATGGGTAGAAAGAACAGCAGAGGCAATGATGAATGAAACGGGAGTTTGCATTACTGGAAGGTGCCTGGTGGAGACATGGCTAGGAGGTGAACTCAAGACTGGAGTCTCTAGAGACAAGAAAATGTTGAGAAGAGATCAACAGACCAAAAGACAGGTGA